TGGGTGTGGCTGTGGGTGGGTGCGGGTGTGGGTGGGTGTGGATGTGGGTGTGACTGTGGGTGTAGATGTCAATCTTCAGTTCAAAAAGACTCACAGCCACATATACCCACACATCCAGCCACACCCACACACACACCCACACCCACCCACACCCACCCACACCCACACCCACACCCACACCCACACCCACACCCACACCCACACCCCACACCCACCCACACCCACACCCACACCCACGGATAGTCTGATTATTTGTGATCATGGAAATCGACGAGTCGTACGATGGTCTCGTCGTAGTGGTACAACTCAAGGAGAAATCCTCATTGATAATATGAACTGTTATGCATTAGCCATAGATGATCAGAAATATCTTTACATCTCTGACACTGACAAACATGAAGTAAGACGATACCAAATAGGAAACAAGAGTGGAACTATTGTGGCTGGTGGGAATGGGAAAGGTGATGGTTTCAATCAACTCAACATGCCGACCTGCATATTTCTCGATCAACAACAGACTGTCTACGTGTCAGATTTCTCAAATAATCGTGTGATAAAATGGGATAGAGGAGCAAAAGAAGGCATTGTCGTTGCTGGAGGTCAACACGAAGGGAATGCTCTAACACAGTTGTCGGGTCCTCGTGGACTATTTGTTGACACCTTGAGTACCATTTATGTGGCAGACTCGGCGCATCATCGTGTGATGCGCTGGCCTAAAGAAACAAAACAGGGTACCATTGTTGTGGGTGAAAGTAGTGCAGGAGAAGAAGAAAAACGATTGTGGTATCCCATCGGTTTATCCTTCGATCGACATGGTAATCTCTATGCCACCGATATGATAAATCATCATGTTCAACGATGGTCAATCAAATAAACTCATTGCTATGGACAGCGGCGGATCTAGGATTTTTTTGATAAGGGGCGATTTAATAGATATGGGGCGATTTTGACCAAAAATCGAGTTTTGAAGTTCATTAGTAGTAGTATGCACTCTATTTTTAAGTCTTTTCTGCTAGGAAAAATCGAAAATTTTTTTTTCGAGTGGGGGCGATCACCCCAAGCGCCCCTCCCTAAATCCGCCACTGGCTATGGATTGTTTTTTCTTTTCTTTTCTTTTTTCTTCGAATATATCATATGGAACTGATGATAGCAATGACTGTTCTCTTCACAGGCGCGACTAGGAGCCATGTTGGTGGAGCAGTGATGAGAGTTAAACTCATGCATACACGAGACAAACTCAAATTATCCACATCGGAGATGTATCAATGAGTTTGAAGCCCAGTCGCGTGTTGCGAACACCAAGTCAGTTCCTAACCAAACTCTTTGGAAGCACTCGAAACTTCTTTATATAATGGGTGTAAACTAATTGGGCATAACAAACTTTTCCCTTGCTAACGCTTAATTTGCTAAGTCTCATCTTATTCTCACCTCAAAAAGGAAAAACATACTCACTAGGGTGTGGGTGGATGTGAGTGTGAATAATTGAAGAAGAAGAATCCACACCCTCAAGTACGCGATTATGTGAAAATCGAAAGCTCTTGTTATAGTTAAAAACAGCAAAAGAGATAGAGCTTCTCTTAGTTGAGAGTAATGAATTCTCTATGTCAAACATCAAATTTTTCAATTGCCCATTATTGCCCAGTACTCAAAATAATTTAGCTGATAAGCGACCCATAGTTCAAAAATTCCTGGCTACGTTACTGATGGATATGAAAATATAAAGCATCAGTGTGCTTGTCAACAGTTGAAAGGGATAGTCACAAGTAGTACTACCTATATAATATCAAGTTTCTAAAGGCATAACTCGTCAAATCTGAAACTAAAGTATCGGAAGTCAGTTGATCTATCACATTTCACTGTTAAGAGTTATGTATTTGATTATTATTCTTTTCTATCTTATAATAGTTTTATAAGCAAATTTATTAATAAAGAAATCTCAGAACTAAATTAAAATTCAAAAGCATATAAAATTATTAGTTCATATAATAAATTAAACAAAAATATAGCTAATTATTATTTTGACTGTTTCTTCATTATTTTTTTCTTCTTTATTAAGAATGGTAACGTTATTAGTTTTTCACTAAACAAGCTAGATATTTGATCGATGGTCATATCCAATTCAACTTGTGTTTGATCAACATCCAATGCATATAATTCGTAGATTTGAGTATCTTCCTTTGTAATACAAAATTTTGCACAAGCTTCATCATATATTGTTGAAATAAGTGTTTCTTTATTGCATGGCAATATGATTGTCTGATCTTCGTACTTTATAAAACTTTCCATAGCAGCTGTGCAAATCAAATGTAATTGAATATCGTTTAAATCTGAAATGATACCATTCAGTAACATTTCATTATCGTCCAACCTGGAATCATCTATCATCAATTGATAAAATTCATTCTTTACATTCAGAAGTTGACATGCAATTTGACATAGACGTTCAATTTTGATTTCAGATCCACAATGAAACTCTGTTGAACATTCTTCATCATTCAAAATTATAGACACTCGCACAATGATTGGTAAATTGTCTTTAATCAGTGTAAATCGAACAGGTGAATTTCCTCGGAAAGATTTTAGTTGAGTTTTTATCGATGGAACAAAATCATTCGAATATAGAAGATTTTGCTGTTCCTGATCAATATTGTTTTGTTTGTAGACAGCAGCAAGTGTTGCATAAATTGTAAAGTGTTGATCTACCATATTTATCGTAACTACTTGCGTAGATAGTGATTTATTTAATGTTTCAATTGATACAAAACATGTTTCATCTTCTGTGACAAGAATAAATTTGGTTTCATTCAAATCTAAAAGTTTTTGATTTTCAGATATCACTTGTTGTGTTTGATTTGAGGCTAAATATTTATATGAATAATGTTTCATTTCTGATGAGCGAAGCAGATGTCCGATAGTTGCATTCCTATCCGATATTGGTATTTGCATTTTTAGACTTTTATCATATGTTGACATTTCAATCAACAAACATATGCGAAAATGAATTGGTTGATCATCGCTAACAGAATAAAAATTAACAGGTTCTTTCATATTTTCTTTTGACAATATCTGATTATTATTATCTTCCAGAACAAGAACACAATCATCAGGAGAAATTTTCAATTCGAATGATTTCAATAAATTCTCATTTTTCAGTAGATCATCAATTGATAAAGACTTTAATGTAAAAAGTATTTCTCTGCTGGTGTCATAGGATAAAATAACGTTGACTAAAGCATCTTGACTAATGCAGTCGATTATCGTTGATATAGTATCCATTATTGTTGAAGAAATGGTGTGATCTTTATCAATGATAGACTTTTGATCTCTATGCCAATAAGCATATTCGCCAACGGAAGGATCCATAATTTGCAAGTAACTTTTCAACCATAAATGAATTTGTTGCCATTTCGTATTGGGGTGAAATAGTGCATTTCTGTGTTCAGCTAAAGGATATCAGCAAAAAATAGTTATACATCAATATTCAAAAATACAAAAGACTTGAATTTTTTCTTAGAGAATGTATAGCAAGGGAAATATCTACGTTTCCTTCATAAACATCATAGCACTTTTTTAATAATTTTTATCAAGTTTTCCAATAGACTGTTTCACAATTTTAAATGTTACTTAGAACTGTAGAAATACAATGCTTTCAATATCAATTTCGCTAATAATTGCGAGCGCATTGACTACATTTTAAAACGACGATACTATTGGATGTTAATTTATGAAAATAACATGCAAGATCTTCAAACAAACTGTGTTGTCGGAAACAGTATGTGAATTTCATGTGCGCTTAAGGTGATAAAGGTTGTTCCATAATAACTGACTAATAAATTGTTAATCAGATTTATATTTTTTCTTGATGGAGAGGGTTGAAGTTCTTATCACAATTCTATCTAATGAAAAGCTTTTATTTATGAAATATTGAGTTTTTTAATTAAAAGTACTGATGAAATACATTGATAAGATTGAATTTTACAGAGTAGATCCATGGTTAGTTAACCAAAGCATTACGAAGTGTTTAGAAAATTGTCATTCATATCAAACTTTGTAGAGAGTTTTCTGTTGATCACTTTGGTAAGAAAAAAAAGTTTCCAAATTTCAATGTGAAATGAAAATGTTATGGTCAAAATATTTGTCGTAAAACAGAAGACACCAGTTCTTTTTGATAAGAATGTCGCATATAATTTTCGATCGAGACTCATATATCTAAGAAAGTCACTAGAAGGTTTTACAGAGCACACGATCTTCTACAAAATCTATTCTGTGACATGTCTCCACACTATAGCAATTTTGAGATATGGGAATCGGCTTTTATTTCTATTTTCCGGTGATAAGTATTTTATCCATAACATCATCATTTCTTAATGAAATTCGAAAGTTTTGTTTATACTAAAATGATCAGTACTGTGATTTTTTTGATTGATTATCAATGGGTCTACCCTACAGACTGGGTGTGGGTGTAGGTCTTCTCTTCATCAAGATCTACAGCCACCCGCCATTGAGCTCGACCCATTGAAACTCACCATTCGAGTAGTTACAAAGCGTTAATCTAAATGACCTGTCGTCGAGCTCTCAAGCACTCGGAAAATGACACTCTGAACACTAAGTTCAAAATGAGACGTCCTATGCACGCTTAAATCGACGAGTCGAAATATCCCTCGCAGGAACAGCTTGGATAGAATGAACGTAGCTCGCCCTAAACTTATTCGAAATAGCATTATTTTCTAAACTCGCTTTCCTTTCTGATAGTATCTTCGATTAATTGTTTCTTTGACTCATTTTAGATGTATTGAAGTTTGGCATTTTTTTTATAAAATAGTATCCAATGTGTATATCAGCCTCCAACTTTAGATTAAGTCTCGAATACGAGAATGACTGCATTCAATATTTGATATCACAAGAATCTTTCGTTAAAACCGCCATTAATTTCTAGATTGATTTTCTGTTCGAATTCTTATTGGTGAATTCTGTTAAAACCAAACCTTATTATACGTAAACATTATCAGAGAAGAAGCTAAGTTCAGACTGGTATGCATATGAATGCATTGTTATATCTGACATAGTACGGTTTGAACAAAGTTTAGCGACAAGAATTTGAATCTAAAATCTATTTCAAATCTCCCAATATTCTATGCGTTCATTCTCAGATCCAAAATTTGCGAAGATTAAAGCAATATCGAATGTAAACTTAGTTTGAATGCTAACATATATTTACCATTTGGCCATTGAATAGTGATTTCACATAGTGTATTTGTGCTACTTATCATTTCTTCGACAGTTACATGAAAAGGTGGTAGATTATTAGTCATTTGAAAAATATTTTTTATTTCCCCATCTTCAATAATTTTTCCCAGTTTATCAAAGAAACAAAGATATACATCGGATGATGTCGATCGAAGATTATTTTCACCAATAAAATGATTAATGATATCCACAATTTTACAATTTGATGTTATCAAATATCTGAATGAATTATTATTATAATGAAAATAAATTGGAATCAACAAATCTTTGTTAATAACATGATATTGAAGTGTTAGTAGGCGTGGAAGTCGGCTATTGTTTATAAAATCAATAAATATTTGATTGTTGTCCACAACAACAAAACTATTCAAGTCATATTCCTTGTCATCAAATATTTTTTTAAGTTGTTCGTACAATTTTTCACCTCTCCAAAAATGATTTGTCGGTTCACCATCAGGAAAATGAATGGTAAATTTTCTTGGTTTGGAAAGTGATTCTTCGACTTGTTCTTGTTGTTCATGTATGGTTTTTGCAATCATTGATGATGTTAAAGGTACGGGTTTGATCGAAATCGATGAAGCTTTTTCTTTCTGATGATGATGATCATCATCATCATGTAAACTAATGCTCTTAACGGTACGTATTGATTCTGGAGATGTATTGGATTCATTAATATCTATGGGTACTGGTTCTGAATTTATGTCTGAATCGTCGACGAACATTTGCTCTGAACTCGATTTGATATCATTGTCAGAGATTGATGATGGATAAATGTTTGAATTGTCATATATCGGTGACTCAGAAGGATATTGGAATGGTTCATTAATAAGATCTGGAGTTATTTCATCATCATTTATAGTCATATATTTTGCATTAATATATTGATGAAAACGATTTTCTTTTTGTTTCCCATGGTGTAAATTTCTGCGAAAAAAACGCGTTCTGAAAACGCATTTTTCCATAGATGCAAAACGCGTTAATGCTGACCGGTTTGACGCGTTTCACATCTGCTAAAACAAACGCTGTGTAACGATTGTTTTTGTGAAAGATTTTGCAGCGTTTCTCAAACTGTGGTATCATACATTATAGATGGAAAAAAAACTGAAAACCGTCAATGACTTCATAGATCTTGAATTGCAGGTACAATTTATATACTCGTTTACATTTTTTCATAGACCTTCAGAACTATAACTTACATGAATTTTGATGCAGTCAAGACATGGATTCGAACACGAGAACATAGGAGTATAAGACATATATACAAACCGTTCAACTAAAATAATCTGATGATATAAATGTTTATTCTACTGTCATTTAGAGTCTCGCGTAAACTTACTAAATCAGACTTTCAGTTTCCATTCTACTGAACTGAAAATTATTATTTCTTTGGTGCCCATGTCCAATTAATGTGGTCTTTTCTTGATACATTTTTTATTTAAACTCTTTCAGATTTAAATTTAGATATTCAATAGAACCGAATTTAATCGATTTAAATTATATTTAATATTTAAAAAATTAAATTTCTTATAAATAAATTTTAAAAAATTTAAAATTTAATCTTTTATTTATTTTCTTGATTTAATAAATTTTTGTAAATGTGAATCTGCCATCGTTTTCTCCAATTACATCAATAAATGAAGGGAGTTTTCTTTTGTAAGTCGAATCTCTTTTATTAAAAAGTCACTCTTACTTCAACAATGTACAAACTAAAATCATGTTTACTAGTATTGTACACAGTATCATTATTCATTATCAATTCGTTCGAGTATGAACTCATACTAATAATTATTCAAATTATAGATAACGTGATAATTATTTTGTTCACAAATAATCAAAGAGAGTTGCCATACTAATTATATTAGTATCAATCTTTACTAAATCTTTTCAAAATGCTCAATATTTAAAACGATTCTTAAGTAAACCTTACGAAACATGTTTTCTTTCAATAAAAACGTGGTGAAATGAGTTTTTAAGTAAGCAGAATATATTTTTGTTACACTTTGATGTTTTACATTAGTCTAACTTCGAAATAAGTCTAGATAACAGCCTAGCAGTCTCAAAATTTAGAAGACTTTGATTTTACTCTTACCTTCATAAAATCCTTGGTCATGATTTTCACGTAAAAATATGTGCAAGGAGCAAAACTTTAAGTGCTATTTCATATCATTTCCAAAGTAATTTTAAAGAATTTACTTTGGTTAACTCATATGCTTTGTGTTGGTGAATTTCTGCAAGATTCTGTATGCAGAACGGATATATTTTGCATCATTCCAAGCAAAAACAATCCAACGTACATTTGAAAAAGGAACGCGTCCCACCTTTCCCTCAATTTGCACCTGTGAAACGCGTCGCCTGTCGACCAAACTGCGTTCGACAACATTTGAATTCGGAGACGCCTCGAAACGCAATCTTGAAAAAAGCGTTTCGGATCGTTTCTAAAAACGACGGTGTCAAAACGCATTTTATGTAAGTGAGAATGCTGCGAAACGCGTCCTGTATTGAAAAAACGTTGCGAAACGCATGCTACAATCTCGAAAACGCGTTACGCGGTCCGTTTCCTTCAATATTTTACTCCATGGGTTTTGATTGATATCAGTATCAAAATCTTCTTTCCATATGTTTGTTTCTATTTCTGAAATTGTGATTGTTCGCTCTTGTAAAATAGATCGTACTTGAATTAATTGAATAGTAAGTGAAACATAATTTTCACATTTGATTGCTACTGGTAATAATGATAGAATTCGACTTTCAATCATTAAAATTTCACATGTTTCTTTTAGTGATTGTGTTGATTGATGTAGAAGAATTGATTCATTTTTCTGCAAGACATTCAAAAAATCTGTAATCATTTGTATATCTACTTGTAATTTATCGATTTGATCTTGATATTCAATATCGATTAGTTCTGTTTTTAATATTTGATTCAATTCAAAACTTAATTCTTTATCGAGAGGAATTCGAAGTAAATGTGATACATCAGTGAACAAATATTGAAAGTCATTCATAGATTTTTCATATAGATCACGTACATTAGTAATATAACATAATTGAAAATTTTTTATTTGACATCGTTTCACTTGTTCAAGTAGATTATTTTCATTATCGATAATTCGAACGAATTCATAAAGATATTTTTGAGATAAATCATCTGAATAATGTTGTAATGTTATAGTAATTTGTCTTAGAAGATTTCGACCTTCATAAAGTTTGTCCAATGACATTTCTTTTAAAAAATTCCATTCAGTTTCAAGTTGATCATGACTAAGTAAAACAGAATAAATTTCATTGAGATCAATTTTATCCATATCTGAAGTTGTTGTTTCATCGATTGTTTTTCGTCGTACATAACATTGATACTTTTGATCAATTTGTCGATAGTTAATACGACAATGAAGCAAATATGTTCGAATAATATAGGATTGAACATAAAGAAAGTCAAAATCAAGTTGAGTACTGGATGTTGGAAAATATTCTTCGTCACATTTCAGACTAGCTTGAGAGAGTTGTTCGATCCAATAAAAATCATTATCGTCTAATGTTATCACACTATGATTATCATGTCCAATTTGTAGAACAGATATTTCTTTTGATACAATTTTTTTTACTAATGTTTTTAATACGTGATGACCGTTATAATTCTCATTATCCATTTCATTTTCAATCGAAATTAATAAACTATTATGATAATCGACAAAAACTCTAAAATAAAAAGAAATTTAGTCTATTTTAAATATGAAATTCAAGATTGAATTTTGATGATGTAATTAGATCAAGTCTCGAGAAGGTTTAGTCCATTTCTAAGCAAACTACTTTGAAAACATTTATGGGGTAGAATGAGCGCTCAAAAAAACTTGCATTATATGTTTTTATTCTTTCTGTTTCAATCTCAAATCCTTCGACAGTCAACACATTCTGAACACTAGAAAACCTTATTTGATTAGATATGCATGTTCGACTCCACAAATATTGTTAGATCTCTCGATACTCATCGATTTTTTGAGTACTCAAAAAAAAACATCGTATGCACAATACTGAGTGCTTCACGGTGTACATGTGTATGCCTTCATAGAAGGAAATCACAATCACACTTATATCTTTTTAGTTTTCGCCCACGCATCTTCAATCAACTATTCTAGACGAAAGCATTTTTTTTTCTGTAAACTGAATGATGATGTTGAAGCAATTAAATAGTTTCAAAATATCTAAAAAGACCTCGCTGATGATATTTGAAGATGCAAACGAAACTCATCAGATTTTTTTTTAAATTTAATTAACCGATTAGCAGTGATATGAAAACTGCTTTCTCATAATTTGCGAAAGGTTATATTTCTTTATTTGTAGCAAATGTAGTACTTCAACACAACCTTTATCGATGTTTCTCTTATCAATATGAGGTATGAACATTCCTTTATCAGCAATAAAAAAAGTCAGCTCCTATGGTCAAAGGAGGACACCGATATTCCGTTTTTTCTTCGATAGAGGAGCTTTTGTACTACTTAATAGTAAGATCCATTACCATGAAAAGATTTTTAATTGATTAAAAAAGAGTATTTTTATGAATAAATCTACCTTAGTATTCGCATAATAATATCTCCTTCATCATTATTTCCTGTTGTAACCAAATAAGACACTAGTGTATCGTGTCCAATAGTGAAGAATCGTTGTGTTGCATCACAAGCACCCGGTTGAATAAGACCATCAGTAAATTTATGATAAAGATTAACAGCTTTAATACCATTTTCAATGATTAACATATGATTATTACATTCATTTCGATTATCAAAATTATAGGTTGTATTGAAACGTTTCTGTCCTCGTTCATATAATACTCGTAATGTTATTTCTGAAAATTCATCACGTTCAATTAGTTGTGCATATGTATAATGTAACAGAATATAAAATTGACTTAAATCATAAATAATTTTTGTCATTTTAAGAAAATCTGTTGAATTAAGAAAATTACGTAAAATATTGAGTGGCATTTTCGAATGATTTGGATTGCCTAATTCAGTTTTAAAATGAAGAAAACGAATAATGATAGGCATACGAGTTATATAATCCTGTAGATTAGTTTGAAGTTGTGATTCTAATTGTAAACTATTTACATATTTTTTATGTTCAGCTAGTGTCTGATAAACAGGATAGAATATTTGATTTTGATATTCTTGTTCAGCTTTCAGTACATCGACTAATGTTGTATAAATAGGTTTAATCCATGAGTTTTGTAGCTGATCACATGTAAGAAAAGCCATTCGTTCGAAACAACGATTGAATAGAATACATGCTTCGTCTTGATTTGAACGAATCGATAAACAATGAAATGTTGACAAAATTCTGGCACGAACAAAATGACAAACTTTTGTTCGAAGATTTCGTCCGACTATTTTTCCATCATTTTTATCATAATCAATAGCATGTTTTGCTAAAATAGGACCATACAAATTTGCAACAGATTCATCAAATAATAACAAATGCCAAGCCTAACAAAAATACAATAGATTTCAGAAATAAGATAAATAATTATCTTCAAAAAACCTACCAAAGCACCGAATGTCGAGAAATAGGCAACATACACTGCTGGAGGATTTAATGGATTTGGATGTGTTCGATTTGTAAATTGTACAAGAGCACCATCATAATTTATTACACAACCACAATCATAATGAACGCCAGTAGCCGTAATTACATGATATGCTGTTGATCCAAAACCTATATTGAGAATTATAATGATTCTTTAAATTAAAAGGTTACACAAAGAATTCTTTAAAGTAAATTGTCTATTCATAGAAAAAAATGTTTCCTCTACTGAAAGGAGGGTCATACACCGAGCAAGGTTCGTATGTTCGTAACTTCGTTCGTACGTTCGTTCGCACAGAATGAAAAAATGCTTTTTTGACCTATAACATCATCAATCTTACAACAAAACTTGACCTCAGCCATTCGATTAATATAGAGTCCTTAACAGAGGTCCAACCAGGCTCACTTTTTGTAGGCCTGGCCTGCCTATGACAGGCCTACATCCATCCCGACCTGCCTGTGCCTGTCATCTTTTTTCTTCGGCCTGGCCTGCCTGCCTGTCGTTTCGCTCGGCCTGCCTGGCCTGCCTGGCAAGGCCTGTCTACTTTTTTTAAATCAAATATCATAGTAATAATAAGATATAATTTAGCATTAATCATCGTAGAAAGTTCAACAAGTCAATAGAATCAATTTAGATGATACAAATAAAAGTTTCCTGATGTGAACATTCAATAAAATACACCCATGTTCAAAAAGTTCCCGGACTGTTTTTATTTCATAAAAATGAAATGAACTACACTCATGAGTTTATATTTTGGGTGTGAGGTGTGGGTGTAGGTGTTAGTGTAGGTGTAAGTCTGGTATTCTTTTAGACTTACACCTACACCCACACCTCACACCCAAAATATAAACTCATGAGTGTAGTTCATTTCATTTTTATGAAATAAAAACAGTCCGGGAACCTTTTGAATATGGGTGTATTTCAGTGTTCATTATACAGAGATGTTCCCTTCTGATATATACATCAAAGTATATGAGAACAGAAGTCGAACGAAAATCGCTATCGTCAGGCACTTTTTTTTGTAGTAGGTCAAAGTCAGAAAACAAACATTTATATATCATTATAAGGAGGCTTTCATTAGGAAGTCACCGATTTCGAGCAGAAACTACTCAAAGCCAACTAAAACTGTTCACTATAGGGAGGTGCGCACATTATAAAGGTGTTGACAGTATGGATTTTTTCTCTACGTTTAATATGAATTGAAAAGCATTGGTATCTAGAAAACTAAAGAAATAAAACGATACCAATATGCAGGAAAACAATCTTGTTCTTGTTCGAGAATATTTTGGATGGATCTGGTAGACAAAATGTCATTCATAGTACCACAATCGAGAGAAGGACTACGTGCAGTAGCTACCAAATTTAATACAAAGAAAACGTTCAGCTTCAGCTGAACTAGCTGAGACTCAAACATTTTCTGGAGCAAATAGTGACAAATAGAAAAGACGAATCATCCAATAATAAAACTGATTCGCTCGAAATATTTGGTTTTTTCTACGTAAAACCATTTCACAAGTGTTTCGAAAGTGATGGGCGGTGAAATTGGCTCTATGGCGATTATTTACATTGTCTTGGATCACTTAAAATAATGAATAAGTATATTATATCCGACTATTGATGATAATCAGGTCGATTTAACCATCATTATGATAGTCAATTCGCCTAATTTTCGTGTAGTTTGATAAAAGCTTTTAAGAACTCTGAAATGCCAACAACATATCGAAAAAAAGCAAACTGACTACTGAAAAATGTCCAATGAAAACTTGTCCCCAGACATAATTGTGAATGTCTTTAATTGATATATTCGTAGATTATAATCAGAAGAAGTATAATTTGGATCAAAGCTAAGGTCATGTTATGAATTAGTATTTAACGCTGAGACGACTTTTGTGACTTTTCAATATTTTCATTGATTTTTTTCGTGGAATAGATCCTCACAGATCCCCAGGGTTAAGTTAAAAAGAGAATCACATCGAAAAGTTGTTTCAGCACGAGAAAAAATTTCTACAGCTGCACAATAACACTATAGCACAACATGGCGTCTGCTTAAACTACTGATACACTTTTTTGTCGATACTCATTTTTCGACTTGATTCTGAGCAGGACTAGAGTGATTTTCTACGAAAAAAGTTCATAAACAGATTCCAAATTCACATAAGTCAACTTAATACTAAATGCCGGTCTATATAGATGATTTTAGTTTTTATCCAGACTTTACTTCCTCTAATCAAAACTAGCGAAATATCAGTCAAGAAATGTACTTAAAATAAAGTCCGCTGAAAAGTTTTTCTTGGACGTTTTTTAATGGTTAGTTCCTTTCTTTTAACGTGTTACTAGCATTTCAGAACACTTAAATATTTCTATCAAACTATATGAAAATCAATATAGCCGACTATCATATTGATGGCTAAATACATCTAATTATCATCGACAATGGGATATAATACACTAATTGATTGTTTCAAACGACCTGAGTGTAGCTCAAAGAGGAGTAACAGACCTAATTCTACCAGAGATCACTTTCGAAACCCTTCTCAATTAATTTTGGGTAGGAAAAAACAAATTTTTCGAGGGGTAGAGGTTCCATTACTTATTGAACCTCTTCATTATGGTAATAACCTTTTCATATTAGTAATAGATTTGATCATTTATATATATCGTCAATATTTATTCTCAAGTATTGGTCAAATTCTTTATATTCAAATATCATTCTTGAAAACTGACTCAACTGAATTTTTTTCTAGCAATAAATCCCAATTATGCGGTAAAAGTTTTATATCGAAGAAAAATTAGACAGGCCAGGCGGCCTGGCATTTTTAGGCGGCCTGCCTGGCCTGTCGAAGGGGTCGGCCTGGCCTGCCTGTGACAGGCCAGGCCTAAAAATCGTGGCCTGTGCCTGTGACAGGCAGGCAGGCCCAGACAGGCAGGCAGGCCTAGTGGCCTGGTTGGGGCTCTGATGGGTAGATTATTCTACGATTTAAAAAAAAGGGTTTTTTATTCTATACTCAAAGTATATTATTCTGTTTTTGTGAGAAGGCTTTATTATTTCTTGCTCAAGAATTCGATTATTCTACGTTATTGTCAGAAAAGTTTATTATGATTCTACATGTAATGGTTGGTTATTCGACGATGTCAACAAGAATTTTATTGTTTCACGAAGAAGAGTAGTTTATTTTGCAAATTTTTTTGCAGTGTAGTTATTCTGATCGATGTCCACAATTGAATGAAGAAGATAGAATAAGACAAGTTAGTTTTCTATTATTTTCTTATCTTTATTTAGATACTCTCTAAGAAAAAGTGATTGCTAAGGAATTTTATTTTGGGTACCATTTTAAGAACCTTAGTTTAGTTCTAGCCAAAAAGTCTAAACTCTTTAAAGTTGCATACTTTCTGGCTAAAGCCATTTTAATCTCTACAGTTTTTGGTTGGAACTTAAAAGAGGTTCTAAAAATATTATCCAGATCTAGAACAGTAGAAACGTTCAGAATCTTTGCTAAAACCTTGAATGGTTTCTTCTAATACTTTGCTTTTACAGAGTGCTGCTGGAAGCAATTTGAAGATGACGTGACCAATTTTTTCTAATTTAGCATACTCCCTCCCAATGATTAAATATGATACATTCTGCAACATTCTTGCTTAATGACGTGATCGTAGGCTGTGCCCCTTGCCAAAATTTTTTCCACAAAACTAATTAAATTTCAAGAATTTTTGTAATTCACTATTATACAGGAATTCGTTACATCATGTTCTCACACCAAATACTGCTTAATCTCGATAGATCTAACCTGTCATTTCAACAACTCTCATTAAATTATAGGGAAAAAAGAACAAATGTTACACTTTCCTCCTTTGTCCTTCCATCTACCTTTCCCTATCTTGAATCACATTATACAAAGTAGATAATAAAAGCATTGCTCGCAGCTCATATTTTCACATTCTTTCGTATTACGTTCAGTGTGAACTAGTCATTAAGAGGGATTATCTAAACATATGCTATGGAAATTAGAAAGAGAGGTGACCCGGGTGTGGGCGTGGGTGCGAGTGGCGGTGTGTGTGCGTGAATGTAGGTATGTTGGTGTACGCATCGATCATCTTCTCACACCCACACCCATCTATGAACTTATTGAACTTTGAACCTGTCAATGCGAGATCCCATGTGAACAGTTATTTAACGAAATAACTGTGACAAAAAAGCTGGTGCGTTAGTCAAAGTCGTAACTTCAACAACCTTGTCATTTTCTAGTGGATTCGATAATTCAGCAAAATTATTATTAAGAACAGGACTTCACAAGTTGCGACTAAAAGAAAAAAATATGTGTTTCAGCATTTCTCGAATCATACAGAAAAATAATAAGATTTCAAATTGATTTTCTCTCAAGATTAAGAAGTGTCTTCACAGTCAACAAAGATATCATTTTCGTCGTTCGTCACTGGTACAAAAGGTGGAACACGATTTGAAGAGCGTCGAAAACTAAAGGCCAGGAAAAAACTGAGCCAAGCGAGGCAAGTTGCAGTTAAATATGGAGGTACACAATAGACATAGAGTCGAATAATGAACAGCGAGAGTTTCATGAGAAGAAAAACGGAAATATACCATAGTGATAGTACGGTAGGCGTTTCCCACATTTCAAGAGTATCAAGCTTGAAAAAAGGATATGCCGACAAGAAACCAATGCTTATGAAGCTAACAAAAATAATGATCGTTGTATCATGAAATGTTTGAAGTAGGAGAGATAGACCGAAAGTCAATAGACCGCTGATTACAAGAATTTGGGCACATGCAAAGTAAACGGATGTTTTCATTCTTTGCACAACTGTTGTTGCAATGTAAATAATTAATAACACGATGAAATTAATAAAACCAAAAGAGAACAGAATAAGTAAGATGTGCAGTGCTGTTTTGGGATTTCGCAGTAATAAAAGGAACATCGCAAATTGACGGTAAAGTAAACTGCCTTGACGGGATTCGAACACACATTGAATTCCATGAAGACTAATTGTTGGTGGCTTCGCAATGTCGTCCATAGATCTATTGAACCATTGAAGAAGCCGATTTTCAGAGACCGGCGTCTGTCCAGTGACAGTGGTATTATTGACTTCATTTTCAGTGTCTGGAGGTGGTGGTAACATTTGGTTAAGCTTCTCCTGGAAGCATGCCTGAGAATGACTTTGTAATAATGTCGACTCTACAGCACATTGACACCAAATGCATTTTACAATTCTAGGTTTGCAAGATGATTCATGTTCATCGATCTCTTTTATGAGCACCAGTTCTTCACAGGTAGGACATCGTTTAGTTCGGAATGTGCAAGCAACATGCTCGTGTTGTTCCAAGAAATCATATGGTAGACTTTCTGTACAACCGAATGGAGTATTACGACAACGAATACGTAGACGACCGAACATGGATTGAACATATGGAGGAGCTCGCTTGATTTCGCATGGACTGCACCGAAATGGGCACGTGGTTGGATTTATTTCGAGCCACTTCTGAATACACTTATGGCAAAATAGATTTTGACAAGAAGAGCAGGTAAATGGCTTCCATAGAAGATGCTGACAAATTGGGCAGAGATATTCATTCGGTACAAGAAAGTCATCGTTGGCAATACGGTCCCGATCGATGTAGCTTGTTTCTGTATCCATGCTCAATGAAGAAACCGTGTTCTTCTTGATATTCGTATGAAGAATCTACAATTAATCATCGATTTTAAATAACGATACTGTTCATGGAATCAGTTGGAAATAAATATGCATCAGTACCTGTCAAACTGAACTCATATATGCATAATCTAGTTTTTATTTATCATATCAAACGACAAGCTCTTAGTATTGACATATGCTATTCGATTAAGCATATAGTGAATAGAAAAGCAGCAGCAATTGAAGACACAGTAATAAAATAATAGAAAATTTCGCTTAACATCACATTGCTTATTGATATTTTAGTAGCAATAGACTGGGAAGATCATAATGAATTGAAAACAGAAAAATACTGATCACCTAATCATTTATAGATCAGTTGACTGCATATCCTGTCCGACTGATCGGAGTGAAGTCAGTACCCTGTCCGATAGATCCCATTTTAATGGGGACCCAGGTAGCTACTACTGATGTATACATAGTTGGAGAAAACCTTCGCCGAATGCTACTGATTCATTGCTTTCCAATGAATTGAGTCATTGGATGATATTGTACGAATATTCTGGCGGAACTCAATAGCGTATTGGGAGACGGTAATTCATTCATATTCTTGATTGCACGAAAAAAAATTTCTGGATCTAATAAGCGCCTTTCCGTAAGGTTGCAAGAGCAAGACAAAAGAACTTATTTGCATCTATCAAATTTGCGTTGCTACTTGTAACTGATTTCCCACTATCATAAAACAACACACTTGATCGCTGTCGGATACAGTTAGAAAAATTTGGCATACTTAAATTAACGAAGGGCATCAAAGAGTCGCTCGAAGTACAACAACTATTTAGAAGATCGAAGAATCTACAGAATGAACATAGACTATCCTGGCGTCAAGTTCTAAAAGTCATAAATGAGTTTCGTTCGATGCAATTATTTTGAAAAAACTGAAAAGATTAATTTCGACTTTCTATGTGATGCGTTTCGAGCTGCTTCTTAAAGGTAAAATCAGTATCGATTTCAGATCGACTCCTAGGTATTACTTTCGACATAAACAAATCTCTAATTCATGTATCGGTTAGAAAATGTTTTAGGTTCCTCCTATATGAGGAAAGTATTCAAGTGTTACAACATGGCTAATTCTTTCATATGATTTTTCAAAATCCCTTAGACATATGTTACTAATAATGTAAGATCAAAGCAAAATAACAGCGATACATTAGAACATGAATCGACCCACTGAAGAGTTTTCAACGGAAGTATATATATCGATGCAAATTTGAACGGCGTATGTTTTGATGCTAAATTCTATAGCTTTCGGAAGTGATTTGATCATTCCTGACGCAAATCAGTACATCTTTCGAAAAATTTCTTCACTTAGCGCCGAAAAAGTTTATCTGAAAGGCAGAGCTTTCTGCGCAAATCTCTTTAAGAATCATTCAGAAATAGGAAACATCATCATGACTTCTGAAGAAAGAAAACTCGTTCTTGCGAGACTTTCGGTATTCAAGGGAGGTTGAGACGTCACAATGTTTTCAAAAATGCTTCACGATGGACTGACGGATTAAGGATTTGATCCAGTTTTTTAAAGGCTACACGCTGATATCGTCTTCACATCGAAATTTAATTGGTCTAATTATTCGTGTCGCAAAACGGTCTGAAACACTGATTGCTTTTGGCTTTCACCGTCCGAAGTTGAACGTAAATTTCTTCAGAAATAACTTCAGGATGGATTTCTGAATTAACTGTTCGATACACTTTTACGTCGATTGCATACTCGTTTAGTTTTTGTGCCCACATTCTTTTGATCAAAAGTTTCCAAGAGCAAATGCAGACTATCATTAGGACGATATGTGTTTTGAGACTGGAAGGTAGAGATGCAAGAAATTCAAGGTCTTTAAATTTCGTGTACAAAGATTTAGATTTAATTTACACTTGAATTGGTGCTTCGATTTTGCAGGCCTCGCAGAGCTCCTTCTTTCCTTCTTTTTTCCTTCTTTTTTTAGATCGTCCTTCTTCGTCCTTCTTTTCTCCTAAAATCCTTCTTTTCCTTCTTTTTTACTTTTCATACGAATAGGCTGTGAGAAACATCGAAAACATTGAATAGAAATACCTAGTTAGAATCCAACACTGATAGAGAGCTCTTAAATCTACAGAAAAGGTTTAATTTATCTCAAGTCCAATGAAAAGTTCGACACACTTACGCTAACGTACGTATGTGGGTCTTGAATTTACGTGGCATCCACATGCAGAACTTGAGATACGTAAAATGACACTTCTCTGGAATTTGGTCGCTGCAAAACTTTCGGGCATATACTCACGAGGGAAAGTCCCCAACTGACGGACGCCGTTCGATTCCATATTATGGCTATAAGGTAGGCCTCTACGAGACTAAGAAAACCCTAAAATGATTCGTGCCCATGGTCTATCTGTGAAGAGTTATGACCGTTTTACGGAATTTTGAGCATGCGACTAGGGATTTCCAAAAAATCGAATTAAAGAATTTCGACCTGAAAATGTGCCCATGGATAGGTCTAACAGTCATTAGAATCGGTTGAAAGTTTCAGCCAAAACGAATGTTCTTTTCTCGAGATATTGAATTATCAAGTAAACTCGGTTTTTGTGACCTGTCTGTGAAAACTGACTATTTTTTGACATTTCAATATCTCGAGAAAGGAACATTCGTTTTGGCTGAAACTTTCAACCGATTCTAATGACTGTTAGACCTATCCATGGGCACATTTTCAGGTCGAAATTCTTTAATTCGATTTTTTGGAAATCCCTAGTCGCATGCTCAAAATTCCGTAAAACGGTCATAACTCTTCACAGATAGACCATGGGCGCGAATCCTTTTAGGGTTTTACTAGTCTCGTAGAGACCTACCTTTTAGTCATAAAATGGAATCGAACGGTGTCCGTCAGTTGAGCACCTTCCCTCGCCAGTAACAAAGTATAGCTGAAGCTGAGCTATATCATAACCATAGTCTTATAGATGCCTACGCGAATGGCCTTCCGTCGCGTATCGATGTTCGATCGAGATTGTCGGTCAGTAGAACAAAAGAGTCACAGTTTTTATTGGTGATGTTGTTGATGAAAAAAAGCAGAAAGGCAACCAACATTCAGTAGTACGCAGCAGTGTTGGTACTTGTGGACTAGAATGGAGGTGGTACGTGTAAGTTAATTTCAGTTCAACTCAAAATCAACGTTTAGCTTTCTACTCAATTTAAGCTGATCAATCAATGCCAAACATGAATTTGAACTTCTTCGCTTGAGCTTAGTTTTTAATATGCTTTTCAAATTTTTCGATCGAGTTCGGGTTTCAGAGGCGACTTTTGACTTTTCTGGTCGAAAAAAATCATAAATCACAATTGAACTCTATATCGATCGAAAACCTTGAAAAGTATCTGGAACAGTGTACATCGATCAAAGAACTGGAAATTTATCTAGTTAATACAATTCGATGGAGGATGTACAAATCACATAGGAGACCTATTCGGAACGAGAAACCCGAAAAAGCGTATCTGAATCGGAGATGTCATAAGGCATTTCAATCCAAGTGCGATATATCAAAAATATCGGATGACGGAAAATATCTTTTTACAAGTTTAACGATGATTCCTAGTTGAATTTAGCTTTCAACGCTAAAAGTGAAGTTAACCAGTCAACTTAACTTCAAATCACCTTCAACTCGCCGTATCTAGGCGAGAACGATGTGTTTAGACTAGTCCTTTCTCCCGCTCCCGCTATGTGTAAAAGTGGCAGATAGAAGTAGCCACTATGCATTGAGTTATCTATTTTACAAGGACAAAGCGAGGATGCTGCTGCCTATCTCTGATGCTTTATCAACGGATAGGTTCGATCATACACGAATTTTCGTGATCGCTACACGGCATAGCAATACATGCAAGCGAGGGTTAGAGCCTATTGGGTTCAAGAACTCCCGAAACCCAGACATGACCAATTAAACTTTTTTGGGCTGGGATCCAGATCAAGACGCAGATGATCAAAATTGTTGGACCCGGACCCGATTGATCATTCTTTTCTGAGTATGGACCTGAGCCGTACTCGTAATACTCTTAATGAAATTTTTTAATCCGAATCTAATAGTCGTTAGGAAGAAACGAGATACGTTTTTTGATCTTTTGTGTTCATCGAGTAGCACACTGTACACATTGTTCAAATGATCTGACGTCCGGACATAAGCCGGGCCCGATCAGTAAAATTTTCAAGTCCCGAACCCGGACCTGATTAACATGAAATTTTCAGACCCAACAGAGTCCTGGTCCGGATTCGAATAGGACCCGTCAGACTCTAGTGAGGGATGTGCGCGACCTGTAAAGCTGCCGAGAGAGTCATTGATATATGGGGATGACAATAATATGCACGCACGTCGTAGGACCAAGGAGAAAACTGTTCGTCTTTGAAATTCGTTCTCTGTTCCTATTCACTATAAAAGCAAGATAACGGTCTTGCAACGTAACCAAATAATAATTCGAG